CCCCCCCCGGCAATGAAGTTGTGCCCCGCACCCCGTTTACTCAAGGCATCCCCGCTCCCTTGTGCATTTGATATGTCGATACCAAGGCGTGCGGTGTGACCCGTTGGCTGGAATGTTGACTGGCTTTTATGCTTGTGTTGTTGTTGTTGTTGTCGTTGTTGTTGACTATGAAATACCTCAATCCTCGCTCGCGCCTATTTATTCGTCCTTTCGTTTTCCCGACATCAACCCATCCTTGTCTCGACTTGGTGGTCGACGCGCCCAAAGGAGTGCGTCCGAAAGCTCGTGTGCGTTTGAAAATTTCACAGACATTGTCACGCAAAAGAAACACACTACCTCCTTTTGCGTTCATTGGGGCAGCACTTCGCGTCCTGGTCGATTGCTCGTGGTCCTTTGATGTGTAGTCACTTTTCGTGTGCCTACGTTTTGATCCCAGGCTTCGCAATATTATGATCACGTATGTATGCATTCCTCTCGTCGGATGTTATCGTCGACGCGTGGCAAACAGGTTCGACATTGGGAACAGGGGCGAACCAGGTGGGAAGCGCCCCAAGCGACGGTGCGGCAGCAAAAATGCGCAAGCCCATCCCCGGCCAACCCAACCCCGTGAGAGCGCATGGCTTTTGCTTCGGCTTCGGGGCAGACGGCGTTGGCCTCGCCCAGAAGCTGTGGGACGTGTTTGCCGGTAACACCGGGTTCGGGGACGGGCCAATTACCGAGGGCGGGTGCCAGACCCCAACCTTCAGCGAGGCGAGTGTGACGAAGAGCAAATCCACGTGGCAGCTCGATGAGCACGACAGCCTCATCCTCCCCGGCCATAACACCAACAAGACCGAGGGTCACCCAACGTGTACAATCGGCGGTTGCGTCCCAGTCGAGCAGGTGAACGGACAATGGCGACTGTGCCCATGGGGGCTTCAGTACCTCGCGGCCGGGAGGATCGTACCAAAGGTCACGCAGAACGTACGACACAATGGCGCTGGCGCAAGGAGCCGCGCCACGAGTAGGAAGAACTGATAAGGTTTTCGTTTCCACTATGTAGATAGCGCTCCTCACAGATAGATGAAGTTTGGAGGGGAGAAATATCGAGAATATCAGCACAGGGCCACGATTGGATCGGTGGCAAGCTTACTTAGCACCCCCTTACGCCCAGGTCGAATTGCCGACACTTGAATCCGGTTATCTACCCTCTAGTAGAACGGGACGAGAATTTTCTGGGCTGCGCATGATATGGTATATGCATTCTTCGTGGGATACGAATCTTGATTATCGTGTGCAACGATTGCGCGAGTCTTCTCTCACAACTACAGACGGCGCAGCGTAGACTTCGAGCGTGCTGCATTTCAGCACGTGAACTAGATACTATTTTTGGCCTGTCATTCGACTGGTACCTATTGGGTTGTGTGGGAAAAATCCAAGTGTCATCTGGCGAAGGCTTTCATTCAGGCAGTGGCTCATATTCAGGTAGACACAATCAATCATCTTCGAGTGACATCTTGATTGCCGATACCAATGTATGACGAACCACTTAGAACGAGAAAGAGAGAGAGAGCGAGGTGGTGTTTGTTTACGCTTCCCGTCATCATTTACTATGTATGTAGAGTACAGGTGGATCCAGTGTTTGTGTCCTCCATGGGGAATGGTGTGAAGGTTGATTTACGATCACCACCCGATTGAATGTGATTTATCTTGGATTATTGGCGATTTTACGGTTGGATTTCGACAATTTCGATTGACACGCGATCGGTAGCCGTCGACCAAATGTTGTTTGGCCTGTTCGACTCGTAGGTTTGTCGTGTATGCGGAGGGGAACAATGAAACATTAGGGAATCAACTTGAGCTTAGATTGAATCAATGGCATCATGGTATTACCCTTCCCTCTCCGTGTAGCAAATTACCCGGTCCGCACAAGGGCACAACCGTAGAACGGGATGGGAGATTGGTGGGCGTGTGAATCCTTTTGAATTTTGTCGTTTGTGGAGATTTGCCGATGTTTACGCGTAGTACCTCGGACATGGTGTGCGTGGTGTGACGTTGAGCAGGCAAGACGTTGTAGTCTATAGGTGTACTCATTGAAACGTTGCGAAAACGTTTCGAGATGGCTGGCGCGAGGGAGCAATGAGCAGACTCACCTGCACAACCAACTATATTTTGCTTCGTGTTGATGTCATTCCTTTCTTCGAGTGTGTCTTCTCGCTAGTCGAGATGGCTGGCGCGAGGGAGCAATGAGCAGATTCACCTGCACAACCAACTACATTTTTGCTTCGTGTTGTGTCATTCCTTTGTTCGAGTGTGTCTTCTCGCTAGTGGCTGCTCGTACAATAATTTCGTTTGGGCTCCAAACGTGACAACGCGATCAGAGACAACGCTGTGACACTGTGCGGAGATCCTCACACTCAGAAGCGCAAGGAAGCTTTCTTTCCGTTGTCAGCATTATACGTGCATGCCCGGGTGCACCACAGTGTTGCTGGGAAGCCTCCATATCCACACTACTCTTTCGCTGCCTGTCTGGCCCACGAGTCTTGTGTTTATTCAAATATTGTATAATTATTTTTCGGGTCTATTGAAATTCTAACATTGTACATAACACGATTATATTCATGTGAATTCTACCGTTATACCCCACTCGTACAATCACCCACCCATTGCCTGCAATGACGGTCTTCGATCCCCTCTACCCTAATAACTGAACTCTTACGTTGCAACGCCGGCGACAAATTACCCACAACAACCCCGACCCACCCGACCAAATCCAAGTCGTGTTCTGTAAATGCCCGGTAGGAAATCGCGGCATGTAAGACCTTAAGATCACCAAACACGCGTCGATCACCATCCGTCGGCAATAGTTTCCTAGCGGCGATGTTGGCTGACTTGCTGTAACGTTGATTTATCTGTGCGGCAGTGAGACAGGAGGTATCTTTCATGCCGCGCAACCTCGTGAGACCTTCGATGAAGTGGTTATACTCGCACAAAAACAGGACCCAGGCCACAGTTCCCATCATAACCTCAGACTCGTAGGGGCCACGCGTGCTTGGTGAAAAGTCAGCGTTCCCGGCAAGCTCCGCTAGACCCCTCCCAGACACAAACGACAACGCACACGCAAGTTCGAAGTAATTCGGGCGTGCGTATCTGATGATGGACTGCATGGCGTCGATGTGATCGCTCGCGTGCACCGTTATTCCACGCCTACACTTTGCCTATAGGGACTCTCGGCGTTTTATTCTTGGCAAGCTTTTCTCCTCGGGCGTCAGCTCTAACCGGGAGACGTAGGGCGGAAGCAACCGCACCTTCCTCAGGAGGTCGTCAATTTCGGCGAGCCCAGTGAAAGACACCGTCCGCAAGTGTATCGCGCGTCGGGCCGACCAGTTGTCGGTAAGGTCTAATTTCTCGAATGACACAACGCGACCCCAGGCCTTCTGTAGCTGTTTCAGGTGTTCCTTCCGCCCCTTCGTCTTCTTCCCCGCGGATGATTTCTTCTTGATAAGGGCGAGCAATCGTCGGATTTCGATCTTGACGGGACCTGCATTGTGTCGGGCGCCGAACGCTTGTATCCAAACTTCCCGAACCCTTCTGACGTTCTTGTTTAAGGAGCCAGGGTGTAGCTTCCTCAGAACATCCAGCACCTCGCTTGGATTCTCGTGCTCTTCCAGCCATTTGGCGCACATCGAGATCTTCTGGTCCATGTTGAACACGGCTACTAACAAAAACACACATTATTTCCTGTACTTTGTTCATGATGGGGCTACCTCTCCTCCTTCCCACTATCATCTACCTTTTTCTTTTTTGTGCGTCCTCTCCCCTGGCTACCACGAGCGCGATTGCACCTCAAGCATTTGACGTCCACGTTGTCAGCAATGTTAGGCAAAGAGCAGTCAAGGCGGTCGAGAGTCGGTTGGCGTTCGCTGTAAACGGCCCAGACAAGCTCACATGAGCAAAGGCAGCATCTACCTCCGTACGAGTTCAGAAGATCTTCGGCAAGAAGAGCTTCCCTATGCTGCATACCCTCGTCTGGTCCAAGACGGCCGGCCGTAACGTCGGCGTAGATGTAGCTTGAAACCTTGCGAGAAACCCATGACACCCTCTCTCGGTCGGACATGTTGCTCTTGCTGCGGTGCACGTCCTCCACGATTGAAACGTTTGAAGGACCGGTCGCTCGACTTATCGCCGTATACAATTCATGTCGGCGTGAGGATGACGGGCTTGGTGGATGACCAATTTTCCCTCGACCGTTCGGCCCTGGACCGCGTGTACTGTGCATGATCCCGGAGGATCAAACAAGTTTTCTGCTTCTGCTCGACAGAGTGACGTCTCCCCAAGACTAGCACCATCGTCAAATGCACTCGCGACGACGACTGTATCTGCCGAGGATCGAACGACACTGTATATATGGTTCTTGTGTATCTTGCCCGACTTTCCAAGGTCTCGATATTGTGCGCCGACAAGCTTTGCGTGTCCAAGCGAATCCCAGTCACCGAGTTCGTTGCACCCCAACAAACCTCGGAAGGCATGGAATCGAGCGCAGTCTCTAGTGTAAGCGAGGTGAAAATCTGACGGGCTATGGTGATAAGTCGAGC